AATTCTTGCCACAGCCAAACAGAATTAAGAGCACCAATGTCAAACAGAGAATCCTCAATGGGATGTGGTGTGCAAACCCTCCAAACAGAGAATCCTCAATGGGATGGGGTGTGCCAACATTGCCCTGGAGGTCTGAGCCTGCAATCATGGCGTGATTTGGGTTGGAAGGGACCCCGAGATCCATCCTGTCCTGGGCAGACACCTTCCACTATGCCAGGTCACTCCAAACTCCCTCCAAGCTGGCCTTGCACACTCAGCTCCCAGCCACCAGCCCGAATTGCTGAATTGGGCAGCCCAGCTCTCCACCCTGCTGAATCCGGAGCAGTTGTGGAATACCAGCAGAAAGTCAGCGCCGTGCGACCACAACGCATTCCAGACCTGAGAGAAAGCCAGCAGGAGCAGCTCATCTGCCAGCTTCTCCCTTTCCACCAGCTTTGTCTCCACTCCTCCCCTTCTCCACACCACTGAGAGCTTCCCAAATTCCCTGTGCCCATCAGCACGGGGATCATCTCACAGCTCCCAACGAGCTCCATGTGACATTTGGCTCTGGCCAGATTTTAAAGCCATCTCCACCACGCACTATTTGATTGCACCAAGATATTTTGTAACAAGATAATGAGCTTTAAATCAATGCAGGCATTCTAAGCCCCAGTGCATTGACAGTCTGCCGGGCCTGGCTATCCAGTTTCAGCCATTTCCAAAATTGTGCACGAGGATCCAAAGAGGATAACGAGTCCCTTAAACAATCCCCTGTTATTTTAAGAAACGGGGGCTGCATCAGCCCAAGCTGCAAACCAGCAGCCAGGGTGACCAAAGTGTAAAAAAGTGGGGTTTTTAAGTGAAAAAAGTGGGTTTTTTCCCCTTTTTTTCCTTTCTCTCTGGAAGAGGAGGAGGAGAAACAAGCCCTCAGTGATAGATTTGGAAAGCTGCGCCCTAGTGGGTGATACATGCCAGCCTTTGCCCTGGGGCACCACTTGCTGCAATGCTGAGCCAGGAACCAGCAGCTCCTGCAGAGGAGGAGGAGGAGGAGGAGGAAGATTTACAGAGCACTGTGTTACTGCTCGGGAACAGCACCTGAAGGATTTACAGCAGCGGGGCAGGGCAGAGATGCTGCAGGGATATAAAGCACGGCAGAATGAGACAGCAGCAGAGCCCTGCAGCCCTCAGTGCTCTCATTTATCACCCAGATCCCTGACAACGGGAGGTCTCCATGGGGTTTTGACTCCAGGCTGCCCTGCCCAGGGCACAGGCAGGTCTGAAGGAACGAGCTGTGGCCTCCAGGTGTCAGCATGAGAAAGTGCTTGGCTTCCCCAAGACACCACTAATCCAGGGACTCCTCTGGCATGCAGGGATATTTTTAAATGTCTTGCAGCTCTGGCCCGGAGCTCTTGGGTTTCATAAGGACTTTCCTTGTTTCCACCAGTCAGTGACAGTGCATTAGTTAAGCCCCGGGTGCTTCTGAATTACTCCTCCTCACTAATTAAGCCCTGCAGACCTCTGCTGTTATCTTTAAAGCCTTTCACACCCTGGCTTTTCCAGGTCCAGGCCCATTGCTGAGTGTGGGGTTTTCTGGAAGGCACTAAAGCCCTGGAGCCCCTCGAATGCTGTCAGTAAAATGGTGCTAAAATAAGAACTGGATTTTACTGGGAGGGTGGAAGGAACTGGATTATATGTGGAGGTACGAAGAAAATAACTAAAAATATCACCTTCTCCTCCAATAATCCTAATTTCTGGCCGTCTCCACCTGAGCTGCTGGGAAGAGGTGTGGGAATTAATTACCCACTGCTCACATCCTTGGCAATAACAGATTTATTGCAAGGATTTACTTATCATTAATCTGCAGGTTTTGCCCTGCACTATGACAGGGCTCCCCTTGCCCCCTCTAACAGGACAGCACAGAACAGTCTGGTTTGCCTTATTTCCTTAAAAAAGGCGTTTCCTCAACTTTTTTCCTGAGAGACTGGCATGATAAACAGGAGAAATAAATAGGAGAAATGAACAGGAGAAAAAATAAAGAAAAAATATAAGAAAGAAATTAATAAAGAAAGAGGGGACAGCTTTGAGAGCTTCCCAACGCTTTCCTCCAGCAGCAGCTCAGTTTTGAGCAGAAATGGGCAGAAAATGCAACTGCACAGAGCTGCACAAACACCTCCAGCTTCCAAGGGGAGCAGCCAGGGCCAGCAGTGGGAAGCAGAGAGGGCAAGCCCATAAATTACCCCCATTAGCACATTCTCTGCCTGCCCTGCACTTCCAGGGATGAACTCAGGCCTTGCTGGCAGCTCTTGGTGGACCTCAGGGGAAGCACCACCAGCAAAGGACGTCCCAGACTGGCCATCAGGGCAGGATGACACACCAGACCCACCTCTCTTGAGAAACCTCCAGACTCATTTCTCGTGAGGAGCCCCCCAGACTCACCTCTCTTGAGGAGGCCTCCCCTCAAGACCTCCCTGAGGAGGCCCCCCACACTCCCCAGACTCACCTCCCTTGAGGTCCCCCAGACCCAGCTCTCTTGAGGAACCCCTCAGACTCATGTCCCTTGAGGAATCCCCAGGCCTCCCAGACTCACCTCCCTTGAGAAGCCCCCTGAAGCCCTCCAATCTCACCTCCCTTGAGAAGGCCCCTGAGAAATCCCCAGACCCACCTCCCCTGAGGAGCCCCCAGATTCACCTCCCTTGAGAAAGCCCCTAGACTCTCCTCCCCTGAGAAGCCCCCCAGACTCATTTCTCTTGAGGAGCCCCCAGACCCCACAGACTCACCTCCCCTGAGGAGGCCCCATAGACTCATTTCTCTTGAGGAGCCCCACAGACTCATTTCTGTTGAGGAACCCCTCAGACTCACTTCCCTTGAGGAGACCTTCCACACTCATGTCCCTTGAGGAATCCCCAGACCCCCAGACTCACCTCTCTGGAGAAGCCCCCAGACTCACCTCCCTTGAGGAGCCCCACAGACTCCCAGACTCATCTCCCTTGAGGAGCCCCAGATCCCCAGACTCACGTCTCTTGAGGAGGCCGCAAACACACCGCTCTTGAAGAGGCCTCCCCTCCAGACCTCCCTTGAGGAGGCCCCCCAGACTCATTTCTCTCCCCTCCCTTGAGGACACCTCCAATCCCCCATACCCCCCTCCCTCAAGGACCCCCCTGCACCCCCATCCCCACCTCTCTTGAGCAGGCTGGCGCGGTAGCGGCCCTCGAGGGTGCAGTTCCAGCGCTCGAAGCGGAACTGGTACTGGCACTCCAGGGCGCTCATGCTGATGG